ATTTTTATTAATTGTATTATTTAACTATAATTAAATATTATATAAAATTTTATATAAGATTTAAATAAAATAAAATATTTACCTTTAAAATATATAACTAAAACTATAAACATAATATAAAAGTTCATATAAAATTAATTAAAAATGTTTAAATAATAAATTTTAAATTTATATTTTAAAAGTACATATTAAACAATAACGACCAGATCTACTGATCAATTCTTACGGTATACGGCAGATCAGTGACGGTAACAAATTCAAAAAAAGCACAAAAAAGAAAGTACAAATTAATTAATACTACTGTACCTTATTTAGAATTTTACGCGTCCGTGTAATTCCATTGTCCCCTCTAATTTCAACCGCGTGCGCCGTACCACGTCATCGCACGGAAGTCTCCGGCGCCGGAAGTTAGGAAATTTCTCATTACAAGATTTTAAAAGTCATCCATCTCATAATTACAAAATTTATTTTACAAAATTGAGAGGTATATATTAATATGATACAGTAATAAAAATAAAATTGAATTCGGTCCTTGCACGGAGTTTTTTTTTTTGGGGGGAGGGGGGGATTTATGAAAGAACAGAACCCTCATAGATGGTGGACAACCTAAGCCTGAAGGAACGAACCGCCAACTTGGCTCGTCTAGACGTGTATCTCTGCAGTTTCCTAACCGAACTAGACCTTGAAAGCACAGGCGGAGGCGGAGCCGGTTTAATCTTAATCGGTTCAATATCGGTTTGAGAAACCGGCAAAACAGGAGAAATTCTGGCCTTGTTTCGTTTAGAATCCTTCTTGGCCGCATTTTGGATGGCAACGCTGGCTTTGACGGCCAAAGCTGCCATGTCCTTGGACGATATCCGTTGCTTAAGCTTGGAAAAGGGAAGCACGAAGTAAATCTGATTGGGCTGAAGCTGCTTGTCAAAATCCAAGGCCGGAATGCATTCGTCGTAACAGAGTTGATCGGAGTTGCAAAGGAAGACACCATTAGAAGAAGAAGAAGAAGGATTTGCTCCCTCGGACTGCAGAACTTGAGAGACGAATACCGGAAGACCGTATTCGTGAAGCTCTCCGTGAATTGAAACAACCTGAGCGGAGGGAGAAGTTGCAGCCGCTGGATGAGCTGTTTCCAAAGAAAAACAAGAACCCATGGCGTAGGTTGAAACAGAAACAGTATGGGAAGATCAAGGGAGACGAGTATTTTGTTAGGCGTACAAGGGAAAGGTAGAGAGATTGATATATAAATAAAAATTACAAAGGGCAGAGGTGACGTAAGATGTGGTGTCAGGGAGAAAATATCACCTGGAATTTCTAAAAAGAACGAACGGCTCTGACAGTTGCTTGCTGAGCATGACCCAGGTTTTATAAAATAAGATAAAACTTTAATTTTTTGTCTTTATTTTGATAAAAAAAAATTTATTTTCAGTTTTTTTATTTAAAAAATTTTTTTTTTGATCCCTCAAATTTAGAACCTGATTTTTTTTTTTTAGTGTTTCTGGTAAATTGAATAATGAAAATTTCAAAGTAAATAAAAAAAATATTTTTTTAAGTAAAGAGACTAAAAGAAAATTAAAATAGCTTTAATTTGGTCTCTCTCCTTTAAAATTTTTGTTATCTAAAATATCATATGTACAAAACTTAATAAAAAGATTAAAAAATAGTTAAATTTCAAATTTTATGTATTAAAAAAGATTTTAAAATAAAAGGACTAAAAGCAATTTTTTGTTAAAATAAAGCAACTAAATGAGAATTTTTTTTTTGTTTCTTTTGAACAAATTGTCAAGATTCACCTATAAAAAAAAGAAAAATGCACTCCAAACTGATTTAGGTCGGACCAGATGCAACTAAATGAGAGTTTAACATATAAAATAATGATAGCAACGAGGAGTTGGATCAAGTGGTAAACGATTTATTTTAACTTAAGTAAGATCTCGAGTTCGAGACTTTGTGTACGCAACAGCCTTTGTGTATGCAACAGCCTTTGTTAGGAGACTCACTCACTATTTCCAAGTGCGTGACGTGGATCGGATCCAAATTAGTCGGGACAGAACCCGGATACCGAGCAAGAAATAAAAAAAAAACATATAAAATAATGATAATAATAATAATGCATGTTTGGTTGACTTATCTGTACTGAAATGCTATTTATCATCAGCAATGACGTGGTTTCTTATCTTTCAAAGCTTTGGATCTAGGAGATTGGGGGAAACTTTAGCCACACACAACGCATATCAGGCCCTCAAGTTTGACACCGTACGTACATGATGCGCTAACCGTGCATGCCTTGTATACTTGTGTTCCAGGTGTGTATTGTTTGACCTTAATCTCTAGAACCGTGTGCTGGGTGTCTCACTGCTTGACTTTGGGGGCCTCGTAGGTTGAGGCAATTTTCGGGAAAAAAATTTGGGAAAGTGATCCAAAAAATAGCTCAATTTAATTTTAAAAAAATAAAGTTTTTGACACATAAATTAAAGTATTATATAATTATTCATAATAAAAATTAATTAATTATA